GGCAAATTGAATACCTGATTTGAACGTCAGATATCATCGGTGAAGAATTTGGCAACAAAATAATTTAGAAGTCACGGTGAAGCATCTCAAAATAGCAAACGTCACTATAATGTATATATGAAAGCTTAAAGGTCTCGCCAGCCAAATTGGCACAAATAATAATTGCGATTTGTGGGTCACGATTTGAAGACTTAATTTAGTGGTGCATGATTTACGGCCACGGTGTGGGCACACTTGAGCCAATAAATTATACAATCGCGGGCGTAATGCAAAAATTAACTCGGCTGACAGAGCAGCAGTTGGAACGCGCCGAGCAACGCCACAAGTTCAGTCTCTCACCATTGAAAGAAAACATATCGTGAAAATGAATTATAATAATAATAATGAATGTGAATGTGAGAGATGCCCGTGTCCAGATTAGAATGGAAAAAGTAGTGTAATTACTACTCGCGGCGCAGGTGGTGAAATGCTAATTACATAATTCGCATCAAATGTGACTTTGAATGTCTTATCAGGCTCCGTTTCATTCTTTACTCGGCCGGCCGGCTGCTCGTTTGCCGAATTCTTTTTTGTATGCTAATCATGTGCCCATAATGCTAAGAAGGCCAAGATAGGTTTCAATAAAAAATAAAAATTGATCTTACTAGTTAAATAAAAACATAGTTAAAACGAAAACTTTTTATATTCAAAACTTTTAAAGTTTTTTAGAGAATAAAAATTATTATTTTTATTTAAAAAAAGGAACTCCCAATTAGCCCGAAAAATTTTCATACTAAATTTTTCCACCAAAAATCCCCTTTTTTCTAAATTTTCCAATATTTCCAACCCTGGATTTTTTTACTTAAAATATATTAATTATAAAAATTTGCAACTTATTCAATTTATTTTCGCCTTTTTAATTTAGTTTAATTCTGTTATCAGTTATCAAAAGCACTAACCGACTATCCTCAATTTATTTTTTGGTTTGCAGCTGGTATGGATTGGTCGGTGAGAGAGGATGAGTTCCGGTTGAGGGGCAGAGATGTCACTACAGGGGCTGCTCCTGCCAGGGCCGCCTAGCTCGCGCTCTCTCTTAGCTTTTCTTCCTCGCGCGCTCGGGGTTATCGCCACTATTTTGTGCGTGCAGTCGCAATAACTCATTTCGCGGCGGTAATAATAATGTAATTTCATAGCCTATTAAGAAACTCAAATGACAAAGAACACGCTGTTGTATATTTAAACGCGTGTGAGTTTATGCCAGGCGGGGGAAAAGAGTCCCCGTGCCTTATTATGCTTTGCTGATATCGTTTTATGTCAGCAACTAATACATACGCCTCTATTATTTATCAACCGGCGCACACTCACGGATTAGAATAATGAGCAAGCTAATATCTTTACATCGAGAGCTACTTTGTTGAGCATTAAAAGCGTTCAGTTAAAATATCACATAAATTGCGCAGATAGAGTTGACTGTGACAAACTTTGCTACAGTTCATTAATTTATAAATTTTTAACGCATGTGTCTCTCTTGAAAATTTTAGACACTTGGTAGTTTTTTAACTTACAAATGTTTGATTACTTGAAAGTCTTCTTACTTTTTGATAATTGTACAAAAATTGCATTGCCTAATAACTGTTTGACTCATAAACCATCTAGTAAAACTGTTATTGAAAAATTGAAACGGGGTGAACCTCGGTTGAGTGTTAGCATTCAACTTAAAACTGTTATAATTAATGATTTTATTTATGGAACGTTTCAATTTATTTACTGAGTCCACCAAAAGGGCAATATTGAGAGGTAGCAATATTAAATTTGGAGATAAATTAAAAAAAAAACGTTTTACCACGTACAGAAATTAACTGAAACAAATATGAAATAAAATATTATTTAATTTTATGAAAATAATGAAAGTATGAAAAGCAAAATATAATCATAAAACAGGAAAATTTTCAAGATGAAAATTTTTAAGGTGTTTCATTATGATTATTTAGTTGGTATTAAATAGTTATTATGTCACTTTTATTCAGTTTTATTGAGAAGACTAAATTTTAATGTGAAAACTAATTTCATCAACCTCAATTAGATAATTTCTAATAATTAGGAGTTATACTAAATATTCTTGTGGTATCAGGCGATGATTAGAAGACGCACTTGACATGGCGCTAATGATCTTTAAATCTTTTAAATTGTTCAATTATATGAGAAACCGTTGCCCATAATAGTATAAAAAAAATAGTATAAGTTACACAAGAAATAGAATATTAAATTGCACTTATCAAAACCATGATAATTTGCGTTCCTATTACAATTTTTAAACGTTTAATATGAAAATTTAATTAATGTATTTAAATGTGCAAAAAGGATCATTAAAAATAATATTAATTGTTAGTAAAATTAAAACAATTTTTAATCGTAAAATATAATTAAATATTAACTTCCAATTTTTTAAAGTTTAAGAAAATAAGTAAAAAGCTGGCCGCAGAAAAAGCGCAGTTAAATAGGTAGGACACAGCGATCGGTGCTGCAGCCACAACAAGTGCCAAGTCGAATTGGTGGCGAAATTAAATTTACGCGAGCGGCGGGGGCAATAAATTATCGGCAGAAAGCACCGGAGAGAGAAAATCCATAAATTAATTGAATTAACACGGTTTGCCAAGTGGTGGTGCCGGACTAATTGAGATCGCCTTAGGTAAGGGCATGGATAGGTGAAGAGCTCGGCCGCCGCCGCCGCTGACATAGATAAGTGTGTGACTGGGTCATGTGTCAATTCACGTTAAAGGGCCGGAAAGACGCTGAGAGCGGCGGCTTCGCGCGCGCCCGTCAATAATACGCGTTATCAAAGTCTTTGCTTGGCCACGCCACCTATTTAATATACACACTCACTCACGCGCGGTGCATATTTTCTCTCAACGGCAGCATCCATCAGGTAAAATGCGGAGTGACACGTATTCGCCCGTGTGTCTGGAGCTGTCACCGGCACAAACACCGCGCGCCACTATTATTATTAGGGGTGACATATTAGGCTGAATAAAATCACACACCTATCGGCCTCGATCACAGCGGGCAATCTTTTGAGCACATGCACCGTCGCTATTATACAACCACCCTTTAAGCCGCAAAACGCCACCACGAAACAAAGACGAGCGCGTGTCACGTTTTTGTCTGGAATTTTACACCATGAGAAAGAAATGGCCTGCAAGAATTGGAAAATATATTTTTCTATAAATTATTTCTTTTGCTGGAATATGTATAAGTTTAGACAAAAATTTTATTTTATCACTGAAATTAATTTTTTTGTACAGTTAAAAATAATATTTAATTATGAAAAATTTTGTTTAATTATTACGTCTTATCACTTGCATTGTAACCCATCAGAAGTTAAATCATTCTGTCAAAAATAAATTTATCAAAAAACTTTTGTGTATTGCATTGGAAAAACCTTAAAATTGATCATCTCCATCGGAGATGATCAACACAAAAGAATGACAAGCTTGTCGTTAGTTTTAAGGGTGTGTAATGTAAAATCTAAGAGGCATTGCTATTTCAAATTCCGAATGATTTAACCCTTCCCTCCCTTTCTTGGAATTTAATGGAATTACTGGAGCAGAAGCGAGAGAGGATTATAAAGGATTGCCCCTGATTGTGATAGCGGTTATGCAGCCAGCGCAGTTTTGCGATCGCGCTGGTTGCGTCTGCCCCCTTCAGCATGCACTTCTAGCGGCGACACTTGACCCAATACTTTTGCAGCTTCCTGGCCTTGATAATATTGCAACATAATCCGGTGTTTTTTTTTTTTAATTATTATTATTAAAACGAAGTGTAGTCACTGTGGGTACGGTAATATTGCAGCATGAAAAATTATCCTGCTTAAAATATCAGCAGATCTTGAAGGGAGAGAATGTAATATTTTGTTATAATTTCCTAACCTCACCAGAAAAATCTTGTGTTTTAAAGCTCAAGCTAAAATTAATTACTGTTTAACTGTTTTTTTTTCTCTTGTAAGAGCCAATATGGAGAATACAATTATTAATTCCTAGCAACTCTTTAAAAAGAATGAGGAATTTTACTGTTTTTATTCTGTTACCATTTTAAATATTGCATGAACTAGAAAAATATTGGTACAGTTTTAGAAGTTCATCTCTAATCATTCAGAAAGTCTTTGTTTTGAAAAAAGTCTGGTTGCAAAATTTTTTCTTCTTCTATTATTCTGCAGTTTTTTTACATTTTCTTGGTAATCTCTAGAGATAAACTGGTAGATGAGTTTCTGTTGGCTTTAGTTGGCTGTGGACTTTACAGTAGTCTTTAGTTAGAAATTTTAATCGGAATTAAGAAAATAAACGTTATAATCGGATGTGTGGTTGCAGGTAAAAAAAGTATTAAATTAAATTAAGGCAAGATTTCTATTTTTGACTGTTTGGAAATGAAATTGAAGATAGTAATTAAATAAAATACCTATGAAAACTTCTTAGCACAATAAAAATTGTATAAATGTTCAATGTTGGATAAATGATTTTTGTGCTTTTTTCTCTTGTTTTGTTTGATGCTTAAATTTTCAGGAAGTATTTTAATGCAATCAACCCCATGATTTTGAAAGTATGCTTTTTAATGTTTTCATTTAAAATGATAAAAAAATCTTTATTGCAAAAAAATTAAGAATTTTAATAATTAAATTGTATATCTTTTTCTAATGACAATTTCTTATGTGTTTGCAGGTTGGGTTTCGTTCGAATGGCGGCGAGTGAGCAAGCCGGGGTCAAAGCTGCAGCGGCCAAATCCACCCTAGCCACCCTCGCGGCGAGCATCCCTGAGTAAGAAGTCGGTCGGAGCGCGAGATAGAGAGTTAGCGATCGCAAGGCCGCGGGATGGAGCTGGGGTCGCTGCGGCTGCCACTCCTCCGGCGGCTCGCCATGGGGCCGTCGGCGCGGTGGGCCGGGCCTCGGCGTTGCGCAGCCGGTGCGCGGGGCAGCCCACCGCTTCCATGACGGTGCCCCCACCCGAGAGTTGCCGGCCGCGAGTGCTTCCCCCGGCCCGTGATTGACAGTTCAGTTGGCACAAGGCAAGCCGTGCAGTCGCGCTGCCGCCGTCACTCACTCTCTCTCTCACATGTATACGATTGTTGCTGCTGCAGCCGTTTGTTGTGCGCCCCGTCGGCATTGTTGAGAACAAGAAGTAGTGCGAATTTACCCCAGTGAGTGTTGCAGCCGGAACAAGTGTTCGTGCGTGTTGGATTTACTCTGTACTGACTAGTGTCCGTGTGCAAGTTCGCAGCGCGTAGGCCCGGCCCTTCGCGCCCAGTTTTTCGGTCTCTCGCGGTCAAACACAGCAGCAAAAGTGGCTTTAATGGCTCAGCCAAGGGTAGGTGTCCCTCTCAGGGTGCCCACGGAGGGGCTCTGGAAGCAGGAGCCCCGGAGACCGAAGAAACCGCGACCGGCTGATTCGGGGGTGGCATGGCAACCTCAGGGTCGGGGGTGACCTTTCGCAGGTCAATGGGATCGTGTCAATCTGTCCGGGGTGACGTTTGTGGGCCAGGAAACGGAGCTGGACATTAATTTTCATTCAAAAGTGACACCGGAGGCGAGCAGCCTCTATTCCGACCTAATCAAAACAAAATCAAATTTAAATTTTCCAAATTTTTTATTTTGTCTGAAATTTTAGAGAATTTTTTACGGGTTGCCAATTTATTTTGTTCATATTTATAAAAAAAATTTGAATCAAACGGTCGTCTGGTTTGTTTCTTCGCGCCCGGGGAGCTCAGTCCTTCTTCAGGGCCCTCTTCGGTGCGGCCTTCCCGCCCCTGCGTGAGGACCTGGGGTGACCTGAGCGTTGCTTGTTGCAGTATGACGACGGAATACATCCGTACGCGATGGAGAACGCGCCACCGTCCATGTACGACCCGCACGTGGGCCACCGAGGGCCTCTGCAGTCTCTGTCGCACCACTCGCCCCACATGAACCACGCGGGGATGCACCAGTACCACGGCAACCACGTGAGCACCCCGGTCTCCAACCATGTCATGGGCAACGTCCCTGACGTTCACAAACGGGACAAGGATGCGATTTACGGGTGAGTGAAAAATGCCCGTGCCCGGCCGGAGCGCAGCGCCGCCCTTCGGCCGCGGGAAAGCGAGTGATTTTAACTGGCGAGTGGCGCGGAAAATTGCGGAAAATTTGCCACATGAACGGGGAGCATGCGAAATTCCCACATTTTTTATCTGCTAACAAGGTTTTTCTTCCTATAAATTTTATCTTTATGGGATAATTAAATTAGACGTAACTGATAAGAAGGTTTATATTAATCAAAATTGGAATTATTGTTAACTTGATATTTTTAAAAAATTATTATTTATGTAATTTTATATTGTAGTTTTTATCGTGTCTTGATCAAATTAACTTTTTATTTTTATCAAATGAAGTCATTAAATTTGTAAAATAAATAGAAGGTATGAGATTAAATATTTTAATGACCATTAAAATATCTTTTTTTGTTGTTACTGTTTTTTAATATTATTTGTAGAAACTAAATCCTAAATTTTATTAGAGTTTAAGCGCTATTTACAAACAATTTCCATTTGGCGTCACATAAGGGCTGTTGTCAGCACATAACGTCATTAAAAGGCTTACCTAAAACCGGGGCTGCTGCGCTCGAGTTTACTGCGTGCAGGAAATAGGAACAATGCTCGGAGGAGCTGAATGAGATTTGGGGTGACTTCCTTTATGGAGACGCGCGCGTATTTCTTCCTTCCCATGCATAAAAGAATTTTATGATGCACGCTCTCGCTTGCAAGAGCAGAGAGAAATCTTATCAAGCTCCAACTTTGATAGCTCCATATAAGAGGTAGTAAAATTTGATACCGTCCTCGCTCTTTTTGGGTGTAATAAATTGGTCAAATTGCTTGCTTGCTCCTCTTCTTCGGCGTCTTTCGCTATTTTACACGCCACACCACCGCCGCTCTTCTGCGCTGAGCATAATACGCCTTTGATGGAGTATTACCAACATGTTGCATGCTCTGTGTCTCTTTCTCTCTCTCTCTCTCGGGCGCGTATTGATTCACAAAAGCTTTACTGTCTTTTTACGACTCTCCAGTGAGCCACCAAACGTGCCGTTTAATGAGTGGAAAATTAATAATAAAACTGAAAAGTGCACTCGGGTCAAAAACCGTCCTTTCTCGGCGAGGGTGTTGTATTAATATTATAAATAAATTTCAAGCGGATTAAAAAAGGTTTTGGTGATTTCGGCCGGCGTGCAATTACCGCCAAGTTTCTTCCTCGTCTCGCCGCGGTGCTGTAATGATCAGTTATTAAAGCGCGTTGGCTCGGATATCTGATGATATTCAATCAGCTACCGTGTTGAGTCCCTTTTTTGTTGTAATTACTCCCGAAAATAATAATAATAATAATCGGCGGGGCTGCTATTTTAATATCATCACACACGGCGCGGAGCTGCTTCTGTGCGGGTAGGCGTGTTTATAGCCCGGCCGCGAACGGCGCTTGCCTCCGCGTCACCTGGCGCGCCTCAATCCTCGGACTCGCTTTTTAATTTACCTCGGGGCCGCGAGCTTCATTTACCTATTAATGAGAAATAGTGATTGGAATCTCGGTCCGGGTCGTGCTTTTTTAATGAATTTACGACCGCCGAGATTAATTTTCCTCCTTTCTGGAGCGGCGAGAATTTTTTGACTCCTCCGGCTCCGGAGATTAAAAATGCGCGCGCGGCTTTTTTGTTTTGCGGCCGGATTGTTTTGTCCGTTGCGAGATGTATGCACGCATGAATATGAAATTGCGGCTGATGCATATGTAAATGCGTGGAAGGCCATATTTTGAACGGAATAAATTTCGTTTGCTCGGCAAAAATAAAATAGAGTCGTAAATAGTGTGTACCCACTTTTTTATGACAATGCCACTCGCATCTGAATGTAGCAATTTGCCCTCGTGAAAACGCGGCCCGAGAAAAATGATTTAGTGGAAAAATGATTGCCGTTTTGAGGAATGGCTTTTAAATTGGTGCTAAAATTTAGCTTTCATGGCCTAACTTAAGTTACTAATCTGTTATTATTTTACGTTGATTAAATTATTTTTATCTAAAATCATGATTTTTTGAAAATGTCAATCAGAGTTAAATTAGATTTTAGTATTTAAAAAAATATTACCGATGTGATAAATGCAAAATTGATAGTGATTTACTTAAAGGATTTTTTTGTGTGCTTAAAAAATATTTTGTTTACAATTTCTTATATTATTGTTGTTTATTTGTCCACATTGTTTCAATAAATTGTTTACATACTATTGTTTGGAACAATTTATTTAAAAAATGACAAAATTGCACCTCCACTAGCAAGAATTTTGCTTAAACTTCCAAGATTAAAAAGACCCCATCCGCCGCAGTGAACAATTTCAAGTAATCAGATATTTGCAGGAAATTGCATGCTAACTTAATAATAAAAATTTAATTTTTTAAAACCGATATTTCAATTTAAAGAGTTGCAACAGAGAAGGGAATACAAAATTGCAGCAGTTTAATTATTAATTTTCATTTAAATTAAACAAAAAATCCTTATATATTATTATATTAATATTTTTCTCATTCCAGGCATCCGTTGTTCCCACTTCTGGCGCTGATTTTTGAAAAGTGCGAATTGGCCACATGCACCCCCCGTGAGCCAGGGGTGGCCGGCGGCGACGTCTGCTCATCAGAGTCCTTCAACGAGGACATCGCCGTCTTCTCAAAACAGGTAGGCTCTCCATCCGGAGTATATTAATTTATTAATATTATTAGTATTTAATGATTAATTATGAGTAAAAAAAATTCCACGTCGGCGTGAAAACAGAAATTAATTTTTGCCAATCAGTGCGTGAATTCTCCCTAGGTGAGCCACCCCGAGCGCGCGCGTTTCTGTAATTTATTGCCGTCCACACGCACTCGACGCAAATTATCCGGGGCGAAGGAAAATTGCTCTGTTTGTTGTGATAGGTCGGAACGCAATAATTTTGTCTGGGAAAAAATGGTGAAGTGGCAGTAGGTACATTAATTTATTTCCGCCACCACGCATGATGATATGTCCCGCGCGCGGTGTGAAGAATTCTCGAGTGTTTTTACAATAAATAATGCGCGCGCGGGGGTAATTTTGTGCCTGTGGTTAGCCCCTGCTCGTTGCAGTGAGGAGCTCACAGGCAGTAGCACCCCCGGTGCAGATGTACACGCTGCACCCGAACCACCTAAATTACAGGCCCGAACAGTCAAAACTTTTTATCACATAATACAACAGCAACAAAATTAATATATTTAGGCAGTAACATTTTATCTGAAAAATGAATTAAATTGTATTCAATATTTATTCTTGAAAAATATACTGAAAAATCATGTTATTAATAGCAGTTTGATAATTTATAATCCATCACCAGCTTCAACCGTTTTTTTAAGCAAATTCTTAACTCCTTTCCTTTGCCTAAATTCTAAGCGAACTTCAATATTTAATACAGTCGCTTTTTTTATTAAATTATAAATGATTGATCTAAATATAAGTTAAATATCAAAATTTAAAAATTATAATAACTTAATAAATTAAAATTTAAAAAATACAAATATTAACGGTAATTGTTTAGGTTAAAATTTGTGCATGATCATGTAAATAATTTTTTTTTTAATTATCTTGGTATATATTTTATATTGGTGTTGTATTTTCACTGTCAATATTTAAAATATTTTATCCAGAATTTTAAAATCTTTCGTTAAAATTGCTAATTCATATATAAGGCCGTTGTGAAGAGTGTCCCAGTTTGCAAACACATGCAAGCTACACGTTTTCGGAGGGGGTGGCTTGACAGATGCCAGCGAATTTTCAAATTCATAACACAAGCCACGGCTGCAGTTTTGAAACCTGATCTCGGCCAGCCCTTCTGGCTGCGGCCGTAAGACAAAATGCATCGGCGCTGATAAAATTATCGTCTGCATTATTATTTTCCTCGCGGCGGCCGAAAAATAGGCACTGGGGCACGAATGTAACTCGAAACTTTGCTCCGCCGGCCGCCGCTGCAGTTCGGGGATTACTCACTATAGTTTATTCTTCGGCGGCTCGGAAACTTTTACTATTGGAAAAATGGTTTTGATATTTAATGCGTCCTCGGTGGAGCAGAAAATTTTATTGAGGAAAAAAATATAATCCACTCTTAATTCAATCCGGATGAAATTCAATTCTGCGGGCTCATGAAATGAAATTGGGCCACTCTGGAATTCCAGCCGGCATATCGATTTAACGATCGTTCGAGGAAAAATGCCGAATCATTACCGCAGTAACTGTCTGTGCTTTTTATTCCATCCAAGAGCATTTTGGCAGATTTTATTTTTTACCCGGAGTTTGCACGGACAAGCCAATTAGAGGCCAATCGGCGAATTGCTCTGCCGGACCACCACCGGCAGAGATTTCTCCATCGCTAAGCGGCGCAAATTCGACTTCAATAATGTGTAATTTGGGTGGAAAGTTGTTTGCTCAAAGTGCATGCGGTGTACATGCGGATAATTGCTGAGCGGCGGCCGGCAGTGCTGCTCACTTGCAGCCTCGCGCGCGAGACTTGATTGCTTTTTTGAAAAGTAGACGCTACGTGTGACGACTTCCCACTGCTATAATTGGAGTCTTTGCTCCTTCGCAGCCATTTACCAGGGTGGTATTTTTATAGCCCCCCTGCAACACTCTATAAAGGTATCCAGCTGCGGATATTGTGCTATGCCTGTTTTTTTTTTATACCAGAGACTCGCGCGCGTTCGCAGCGTTGGTTGGGCAAAATGGCTGAGTGCGTGCATTGACATGCATCCATCCATCCCGAAAAACATTTCTTTTCTTGCCTCCCCTCCCGGGAGAGAGGCAAGGGTTGCTATGCGATCGAGGGATGCTCTCGCGGTTGAGGTAGGAAAGGACACACTGCATGCTGGTTTGATTCGAAATCAGCTAGACAAGCAGGATGTTGCCGGTTGACCTAATTTATAATGATGGTCATTGTGAATTTTTCCACACTACATCCCACTCGGGAAGTTGGTAAATTAGAGGCTTTTTGTGTTGAATTATATTTTTCCATTCAGTTATTAACTTTAATTTATCATAAATATAAGAGTAAAAATTATATAATTTTAAATTCAATTTATATTTTTAGCATTTTTTGATCAACTTATGTTTTTTTTTTATGAAATTAAATTTTATCAAGAAGATCACCTAATTTTTTTATGTATGTTAACGACTTTTATGTGTTAGTTGATTTAGCTCTCGGCAGGCTCTCGGAAAGATTTTGTAAAAACTATATGAAAATAATACAACAATGTCTGTGAAATAACTTTTTGCTGCCATGCATTCTCCTGTTGCAAATTTCGTGGTAAGCTGAATTAAATTTAACTACTCTTATTTAACGACTCTTAATCAAGCAGTTTTTATTTTAATGCAGTTAAAGCATTATAATGTTTTGAATTTTTGCTCTTTACATGTTGATGACACAAGGCACATAAATCCACTCGAGATAAATCTGAATCGCTCAAATTGCATTACAATTATATCGCCTCTCGCTCTTTTAATGTGCGGCAAAAAACCAGCTCATAATTTCGAGATCCGTGCATGTCTCCTCATTTGCGGACGAAACAGCCTCGATTTTCGTTTTTTTTCTCTTGGCTCTCAAGGCCTGAACGACGTTAAGTAAACGCCTCATTTTCTCTGCGTCGGCCGGCGTGTGATTTAAAATTGCGATTTGCGCCGGTTGATATTGAGCGAGAGAGGATCATTAATCTGTTAGCACACTAGAGATGTGTGTGTATGTGTGGAATAAAAATTTATATATATAGACACACTCACACACACACGAGTCTGTGCGGTGGTCCAACCAATATAATATCTCTCGAGGTGGATGCATGGCGAGCGAGCTGCTTTGCATGTAACCAGTTAGACGAGTTGCGCAAGACGGACATCTTGAATATTCCTGCCCATAAAGAAAGAGCGACGTGAATACTGTTTTGGGTCATTTACCACACGCATCACGGCATAAATTCCTCTCTGACAATCGACCCCGGCTGTAAATTCGCGAACACTAATGAATGGGCCGCGGATTAATTGGGAGTGTAGAAGGGTTATTTTTGAACTTGTGAATGAGGGGTCACCGCACAATCGGAATTCGGCGAGGTGCTGAAAATAAAATCCTGACATGCACTAGGTGCATCAATTCCTGGAGACTTTGGCCGCGTGATTTGTGTCTGTGTCAATTTCAGTGACAGCGCACTGACAAGTGAACAAATATAAATTACGACGGCGGCGGCAAGCGAGCAGTCAGCTGTTGGGGATCTCGCTGGATTTATGCACGGTCGATATTTATGACTGTCGAATGAATCACTTTCAGCACAAATTCTCGGCTGCACTACTCTACTATACCAGCCGGCCGGGGTCAAGGACGCGCGCCCCGGCTATCACAAACACAGAGCCAAAACAAAACGAAGCCTTTTGACGCCGAATATTAAATTTCACACCGCATTTTTTCCCCGACGCAACAGACACAAAACCACGGTGGGGCTGTATTGCAAAAAATTATTTAATTCGTGCGTTAGTGGAAATTTTAAAGTCAATTAATTTCGGAGATTAATCTTTGGTTGCGTGTTGTAAAGATCATGAGGAGTAAACGCGTCACGCTGCTCACAAAACTCTCACCAAGTGACAAAAGAAGATTTCTTATCAACGGTTTACAATATTTGTTCGATAGTGAGTGCGAGAGTTGTGTTGTGTACACTATTCGGCTGGAATCGACACCTTCCCGCCGCCGCGATAACCGGGCGCTCTATATTATATTAGTACTATTTTATAATATCTCATCATAACTAACTAAATAACGCGCGAGCTACAGAGCTGCGGCTGTGCGGTGTCAATAGCACAATGTGCGCCTGCCGAGCGATAAAATGCTAGAGAGCTGCTAGTTCGGGTGATTGATGGATGGGCCACGGCCAAATTTGAATCCGACAAACTGCTGACTGCATTCCACTCGCGACGCGGATATTATCTGCGTTGCTGGATTGTTTTCCTTTTGGGTACATTTATTACGTTGCTAAATTATTTTTTTCTGATAATTTCTAATGTCGTTAAAGCAGAAAAAATAATAATAATAATCCAGTAATATAAAATAAAAGTAAGCCTTAATAAAATTATTTATGCAGCAATTTTATTTTGTAATTTTAAAATTGAACTCAAATTTTATTTTACACCATTCGTATAGAACCTTATTTAGAAAAATTGTTTTCTTTTGAACAAAAAGTCGCTAGGAAAGTACAGTTATTCTCGACTTGCCATTCAAATGTGTTTTCTTTCACTGGCGTGGAGGATCAACTAGGCTGGGAACTTTCCAGACCACATTCCACCAGGGTGGCCAATTGAAGGAAATAACAAAAGCCCCCGCTATTTTATGCATGAGCAAAAGCAGGAAATTTCGCGAGCACCTTTTTCCAACAATGGTGTGTGCGGCGCGATTTCCATAAGTAAGCACCCCTTTCTTTCTTTTATTCATTACGTGTCCCTCTCTCGCCATTGAAATCGTGCAGTGAGCACGAGGAGGAAAGATTTTGGAGAAAAAAGAGGCAGCCAGCGGGGCGAGTAAATAGGCTCTCCGCGACGATGCTCTTTTCTCACAACAATTGTCGATTGTTGTTGTGTTCCTGGAACGGCGGCAACTGCGCCCCGCTGCCGCCTGGCTGGCGAAGCAAACTGTTTGCTTTTTCTGCTCTTGCTCTCTCTCAAGGGGATGAAATATTGCCAGGTAGGGAGACTTGCATGCACGCATTGTGGCTGCAGCCATCAAAGTTACCTTAGCCTCTCCTTTTGTGCGCGCCAGCACCCTGCTGATTCCACACAAAGCCTCGTCGCTTTTCATTTTCCCATCCCTCTGTAACTTTAAATATCGCATTTTTCTCCACTGCAGCTCTCTGTCCATTCCCATTTTTTCATTCTTTTCTCTCTCTCTGAAAATACCCAGAGAGGTCCCTTTTGGCTGCGTGTGCGTGTCTTGTGTGTTACCTGGCTGTGCATAATCTGCTTTGCTCATCAATACACCCCCCGCTGGCAGCAGCAGCTCCTTTCAGGAATCAAGGAAACCTTTCGAGAAACGCTGCTTTTCAGAGAGAAAACGCTGTTTTTCTGATAATGCGTCTTGCCAGGCGTGGTGTTTTTCCTCCAGCGATCAGCGGGGTCCCCCTGTTTGTGACTGACTGCCTGCCCATCCATCCATCCCCCGTCGTCCCTTCTTAATTTTTGGACACTGCTCTTTTGCAGCCCAAGAGAAAAATAAAAAAATAATGCGTAGCAAATCTGTAAACTCCTGCGAAACGCCAGAGAAAAATAAAAGTCTCTCTCTTCACAGCACAGTGGGCTCGAAATTGATTGCTAAGTGCTTCGTCGAATTTGTCCTGAGCCTGGGAGATGGATGCAATTGAAATGGTCCGATTGATGAGAATTCCAGGAAAAACAATTTTCTTCAGATCACTCTCCATAGAAGCTACCGTATTTTATTTTTTTAATTTGATCGGGTGTGCTCGAGTGGAATATCACTCGCGGTTTTATCTCTGCACCTGCTTCGTTCACTGTGGACGCTAATTAATTTTGAAAATTTGCGTGTGTGTGCTCTGGTGGCAATATGCAAGGCAGGCGCGGAAAAATCAGTTTCTTATATATGTGTATGACAAAGCGGCTCTATTGTTGAGGCCGTCTATGAAAATAAAGCAGCGATAACAATGCAGACACGCAACTGCTCCGCGTGTGTGACTTTTTGCCATTAAGCTGGGGCGCAAGGGAAAGGGCTCCGCTCTTTCTCCCGGTGCATAATGTTTGATATTGGACGCCGGGCACGCCACTGGAGCCGATTTGCGAGACGGATATTTTTATTAAAAAATGTAACGTGCGCCCTTCTGACCGCCCGGACCGCTCTGGTTTTATTAAAAAAAGGCACCCGGAATTTCGTGGAGAGCATTGTTGAAACGGGGAAGTAGTGATTTGGCCTGTCAACCGGCGTGTGTTTATAAATAAGGCAAGGTGTCATCGCCGCCTGTGATTGATTGCCGCACACCATCGGCTCCAGGCCCTTTTCCCAGAAGGCTTTGCTTCATTTCACAACAGGATTGCTCATTTTCGGCCAATTTTTGCTTTTTTGTTAGCGAAAAACAATAAATAGAAAAAAAATGAAGAAAAAAAATTAGTATGGGCTTGCAAAAACTAAATAATTTAATACAAAATCTATTTTAGTGATTACTGATTCTTTGTTTAATTTTGGAAACAGAAATAACATTGATAGAAACAAAAATATTGTCAAAGTAAGAAATATTATTAATTTCTTTAAACACTATTGATTGCCATTCAAAATTAGAATACACCAGAAAAATTTAAGCATAATTCATAAATATGTTAAATATTTAACATGTTTTTAGCATTTTTCGTAGGTTTTAATTTACAACTATTGTAAATTATTTTGTTGTTTATTTATTTAAATGTTGAAATGGAGCTTTATTTGGAAACACGTTGTGTATAATTAAAATTATGAAATGACATATAATTTGGTTAATTATTTGCAAAATTACACTTAATACTTCCAAGTTGTCAATGGAATTTTTTCCCTGTTGATATTCACAACTTGCCTGGCTTCGGAGTTTATTTTGTGTGTCTTTTATCGTTTTACATTTGATAAGAGCTGCGCGGGCTCAGTTTGAAATTAAATTTCTTTAGTTCAGTGGAGCGAGTTTTTTCCCTTTCATTCTCATGATCGAATCGAAATTCAGGCGACCTCTGGTGCACCAAAACGCGTGCTGAGCTCATTAAGCATTAAGGTTCAGCATGCGTGACAAACGAACGCACCACATCTGATTAAAAGTACACCCTGCCTGCATAGGCGCCGATTTTCCGAGACGAAAATCGAATTCACAGACCGTTCGGCATTTCTGATATGTAGAATTACTGCTGTTTGATGCAATTTCTACTCATGCACGTAGCGAGAGTGTATAATTGAGTCTGTCATTTCATTAAGCTGTTCACGGCATAATTAAAATAACAGCGTGATTGTTCACAGTGATAATGCACACACACACTCGCTCGCTCGCAGCCCTGCGCGGCGCTAATGATCTTTTGTCCCATTTTTATCATTAAAAGCTCGCACACAGGCGTCACACAGTGTGAGTGCTGACTGTGTATATAATGTGTATAGTACTCTCGCGCATTCACCAACTAAAAAAGCACCGGGCTCATAATTACAAAAAAGCGGTCTGATAATCATCGGCTCTTAAATTACGTAAAAATCACCGGGAATTTAGTATGACAAGAGAGAAATAGGAGTGCAAAAAAAAAATGAAATTCATTGACACGCCAACAACGTCAACGCAGAAATCAGTCAATACACGTGGACAGGGCTATATATACATAGAAATGAAATGAAAAACGTGTTCGGCTGATAAGGAAAAGCGACGCGGGCGGCGCGAAATTGTCTCTCATTTGCCAATTGCGCGCACACCCGGTATGTGCACTCAGCCGAAACACACACCAGTGCTCATGCAAATTAGATTAAAAACGCTCAAGGCCAGTCAAAAAACAAAACAAGCTCTGGGTTTATTTTTAGACTGTGCAATTTTCGCCTACAAAATAGATAAGCAACTTAACACGCCCCTGTTGAGCGTGTTTGCGTTTTTTTCCACCGCACTCTGGCTACTTTTCTTAATTTTAGTTAGTCTAGTGTGAAGTTAGTGAGTTGCTCAGGTGTATATTGACGGCAGGAAATGCACTTAGCCGCGGGAGATAATTTTCCCGCTGCCGTCCTGCATGTTATATTCTAATTTCATTTTCCCTCTCTTTTTCTTTTCTTATCAATGTGCAGCGAGTCGATAGTAATGAATTCCTCATTTCGTGTTCGCAGATACGCCAGGAGAAGCCCTACTACAATGCTGACCCCGAGGTGGATTCACTTGTGAGTATCAGCACCACTTCCTTTCTGACATTCCAGCTACATATGTCGTCAAATATTTTGCCTTTATCGCTATTTGCTCAGCATCAGCTGCTGTGTTTGAGGAAATCTGCTCTCGCGAGCGAGCGGGCGCTCTTTTGAATAGAAGACCATTTTTCGCTGTTATCCTGTAAAAAATGAACCGAGACGCGTCACCCTGCGCTTGAATCAAGAAGGGATTCCCGTGTGTTTGCATCCTGCTAAGCTCAAATAAAAACGTTTCAATGGGGAGCGAGCGAAGACGTAAAAAAAATTTGTCCCTGAATTGAAGGCATCTTTTAAGATTATATGGATCTTTTCATAGCATTTAATCCCTAAAAAGTCATTGCTGGTGGAAAAATAAATTGGCCTATAAAATATGTAAAATTTATTTAAAAACTAAGCGCTTATTTTTTTTTCCTATTTCTAAAACTTTTTCTATTTTTTTATTGATAGAAAAAAAATTATTTTAAAGTTTAAATGCTGATTGTGCTGTGCATTGAAATATTAGGCCTGATTCAAAATGAAAATTTACTATAAGAAAGGGGAAAAATATTAAATTAAATGTGAATTAAATTAGATTTCTTCGCCTCCCACTTTGGTCCTCTCTCTTGACTTTTTTCACTCTCTCGTTAGGGAATTCATTTAGAAAATTCATTCTCCGCGGCACGTTTAGGACAGCTTCGCTGCCGCCACTCAAGTGAGGCTTGATACGCACCCACTGGAGCCGCGGCCAGCCGGCCAGCTCACTTAAAAAGGAATTAATGTGCCTTGGCGTGGAGGCCGATTTTCCGCCGGGTCATGTGCACTTTGTTAGCAATGACTCTGCACTAATTGTGAACTGCAGCAGGGGAGATAAAACGCCGTGCACACGGCACAGGTCATACACATTTTCTTTCTCACACACACTCATATGTGAGAGAGTGAAGCGAAATAGTGTTTTTAAAATGCCGAGGAGGAGAGGAATGAAACTTTTTGACGCCGGCAAAGGAAAGAGAGCGAAATGATCGCGTTTGTTCTTTGGCTTTTCTTTCCTCCTCGCGCTCAGCATGACCGATTGTTTGGCTTGTCTGACACTCTCCGCAAGTATTTACCTAAGTCAATCTTTATTTAAAAAGAGAGAAACACACATTCATCTCAAGTGAGAGATGATAAATGATACGCGGCACACTCTCGGCAGCACCTTGACAAATATTAGGCGCTCAAGCAGCAGCAGGCTCGAATGAATCAATCAGGCGCCTTCTGGTTTTGTTTTCTGGCAGCAAGCTTGAGTGAAAAAAAAATATTAATATAAATAATAACGGTTTCGATTTTAGAAAATGTCAATTTATAAATTTCTAATATTATTAAGTAAATTTTTGATAATTCCACATAGATAATTTTCCTAATTTGATTCAGCAAAATTTCTGCCATTAGATTTTAAATATGTCTAAAAAGTTCAACTCACAAGAGGTTTGAACCCGTGATCTCTCAATTTTTTAAGAGGAAGTCAATAGTCAGTTCACATTGATTAAAATGCATAACTTTAATTTTTTTTTTAAAAAATAAAGTTTATTTATTTGAGAAGAAGTTACAATTGATAATGAGATTGTTGAGATTTTTTTCATTTTTATTATAATTTTTTTTTTCTTTTTAAATCACTGCAGGCTCAATTTTTTTATCTCCTGCCACAGGCGGAAACGTCCCCTTGGAATAAGATCAGCAGGTCAAAGAGACAAGTATAAATAGCGCCGTTTATGCTCGCTTTTTCTTTGATTGCCCTTATGTAATATGCTGATGGCGCTACAGCACCAGGCCACACCACTCGAGAGTAATTTCCCAGCTGTTGGCGCAAAAGTGAAGCATAAAAGAGTGTTTATAGGGCATTTTGATGATGATGACGGTCAATATTATTACCACAGAGCTGAGAGAATTACGGACGGTCGGAATGCCAAGCCGCCTGCTCGTCGGATGATTTATTGCACTTCTCTCATTCACTCAAATCACTATCATCATGCCATTATTTTAATAATAATCCCACAACAACAACAACCGAAATCATCTCCGCCTGCTTTTTAAAGAGGTGTGCGATTCGCACCGCTGTGTGAATATTATGGTGCACCACGGTTTTCACCTACTTAATTTGCAGCAACGAGGGAGTAACAGCTCCTTCAATGATGTTTAATTGAAAAATGAAGTTATTATTATAATTTATTATAAAATTAACTTCCGTTAGTATTAAAGAATGTTTAAGATAAATACTTTTTAGTTACTAGCCTTAATAATGTGCTGGTCTCTGAGTAATTGAACAAATTTAATGATTTCATAATTGAAGTTAATAATAATTATTAAGTATGTAGTTCTTAAATTTCATTTCAGTTAGTTTAGTAACATAAAAATAAGAAAATCCTAGATAATGCATTAAAAGTTTATATTACTCGTTGCTTAAATTAAAAAAAAAAAATTAATAATTTAAACGTAGATATATAACAATGATATTAAATATATATTTTTCTAATTAACCTTTGCCAATTATAAGCAAAAAAAATTTTTTTGAAGCATTATAAAGCAATAAATTATTTATATTGTATCAAAAACTGTTAAGTAAAATTTAAATAAATTTTTGCAAATTCACACCCCTCCCCTCTCCAGCGCCTTTCCCAAAATGTAATATTTTTCCCTTCCATCATTTCTTTTCACAATTGATTTACTTTGCAATCGGTGATTTACGGTCACTCCAGCGTAATTAAACACGCGGAGAACCGGCCGTTGGCGAATAAATCACCGTTCTTTTGGCGGCCACGCCCACGCACCCCAATGCCAACTCGTGCACCTTAAACACATTATTGGCCTTTATTGAGTTATTACGCGCGCACAGCACCGGGCGAGACCTTCAATGAGACACACAATCGTAATGTTTGGGCGACGATTGCGTGATTGTTTACGTGCACACACGCGGCGGCGAAAAAAAACGCGCGCCCCGTCGTAATGATAATCGTAATAATAACACACGGACACACACAAACGTACAATAACGACGCGGGACCACCCACGGTGTCCCTTCGATGTAATATAAATTAATACCGAGAGAGGCATGCGCATGCAAATCCCCAGCGAGACTTTTCTTTTCTCTCTTCTTAAATACATACAATATGATAATACGCGAATCGGAGACGTTCAGTAATACGTGCAGGTTTCACTTTCAACCCGCCTGCTCTTCCCATCAATTTATATATTTATACCTAAGTACTGCCGCGTAGCTTTTGTCTGTCAGAGATGCTGCGGCTGTTTTAATACTGTATGTGTGTAGAGATGATAAATCTCCACGGAGAATATTATATGGCCGACTGCAGAAAGAAATTAATACCATTGTGAGAAGTCATATGGGAATTGTATATATCGCGATGCGCGAGATGTTTTGACTTAATAGGGTTATTTTTAGCACCTTTGCACCGACCACGTGGTTGATTTATTGCAGAGCTTACCTGCCGCTTTACTGCTCTGTAAATATACCTTTGTCCGCATAACTCATTGACCTACGCACCAGAAAGTGTGTGAAATTAATTTTTTTACGACTCAAAAAATTAATATTTTTATTATAATAAATGAGAATAATTTTGCAATGAATAGAATTTTCATTTAATATTAATATTTATTTTTTTTTATTATAGTTCAAACAATAAATTTCCCTTTTTGATGTTCTTCATATATTTTTTAGCGGAAATTTTTTTACTGGGGCCTAGCTTAATCCTTTTTTTAAATTTCTAAATATGTAATCGAGATTTATGTACAATTTTACCTGGGATTAGAAAATTTAGTGGTAATTAAAACATAAATATCTGATATTTTTGAGTACACAATAAATTGAATTTGGAAAAAAAATTGTTGCTAAAATCACCTGACCAATTGATACATTTTTATCTGATTTTAATCATAAAAAATAATAATAATAAAATAGCAAGGGACACTTTTGGCATGGGCATTCAAACCATAATAAAATTTAGTTGGCGAGCGTGACGGTATCATTAATTTGATATAAATTATTTTATTTGGTGTTCTTAACGCGTCGCTATCACGTCATCCGAGAGCATCGTAACAATAAATAAGTCACCGGGCAGCATGATTAAAAATCTTAATTCCAGTTCATTAATGCACTCTTAAACTACGTAAGCAAAGGGAAATAGAAAAATAAAACATAAGGGGTCGTAACTTTTTACGATTTCTTCCTGCCCGCCTAGCTAGAAAGAAAGAGCTGCACACACACAGGGAGATGTAGTAATTTCGGCGGCCATTATGTTGATTTTATTGGGAATGAACACGACTCGAACGCCTTGAAAGCCGACCGCTCTTCTCAAATATAATTTCCATTATTCACACAAACTCGAAAGTCTGCATTACGCGCATGAAAAGGCCGTCTTGTAGTCCTTAAATTGCTTATAATTTTCGTGAGTTGCATGATTATCTCCCTTCTCGCCGCTTATTTATTTCCCGAGACAACAGTATTTTAGAATATATATACGTGTGTGTGTGTAAATATATTTATATAAGTGCGGTCGACTGTGTGTGCGAGCGAGAATAAAAAGCAAAGCCAGCCACGCAGCGAGCATAGGGAGAGGGGCTATCGGCGCGGGATTTATATTTTACTCTTCTTTGCATGCTGATGATGTGAATAAATACACCAATAAGATGCAGCCGCCTCGCCGACGGTTCCTTTTCTCTCGGCCTGCTGTTTAATATTCCCTCTTGAGCAGTTTTTCCCTTTATTCTTCCTATACACGTCTATTATCCGTGCATTAAAAAGCGGCTCTTTCGGCTATTCCAAATGGGAGAAAAATCGCCTCGGTTTTTAATACATATTTGCATTTTTCTTATATTTCTCGTCGACGAGCCAAAAAAATGCCCACTTTCAAGGGAAATGATTAATATTCAAAAAGTGGCGAGCCGCGCAGCTATTTTCAGCACGTTTGACCCTGGAGTTTTCCGCGGATTTTTAATAATAAGCCCGCGCCGCTTTGAACTGCGTGCGTAAGTGTGTCTGTGCATGCCGAGCTCACAATTACATTTATTTTCTATTCGAGTGAGTACAACGTACAAAACGTAATTGCGGCAAATTGTAAACGCAATTACGCTGTTGCACGGGGCAATTTTCGGAAGTGTTGAAAAATCTTGTGTTGACTTACACCTCGTAACGCCTTTTAAATTGGTCAGTTTATGCTTTCTTACATAATAATTGATTTAACTTTTTTTTACAAATAGGAAGATTTTTTTTTTAATTGCAAAATATAATTAGAAATTAACCTTTTTTTTAAATAAAATTAAAATCAATCGAATTATAATATTTTTTTAAGTCAGCATTTTATTTTCAGAAGCACTAATTGTTATTATTTTTAAATCTCTTGAACGTGAATTCAATTATAGATTAAATATCATTTGACACAAAATGCTTAAATTCTTCAATGAATTTGATTTTGCTTTTGTATTGTGATGTGTGAAATAATGATTTTAAAGAAGTGCCATGAATTATGTTAACATCACAGGATGCTTTTTAAAATATTTTTTGAGACAATTTTTTTTTTAATGACGAAATTTTCAAAATTTCCGCACAAGTCCGTTGACACTGCTTTGTTTGCGCAACCCGGGAGGAAGTGGTGTTGGCGAAGGAAAAGGACCCACAGCTGCCGGCAGCCATCAGGGTCGGGGGTGCGAGGGGGCGCACAGCAGCCACCCGTCCGTCCTGCTCTTGGCTCGGGTGTGTTGCACACATGTGTGCGAGCGCAAGAGAGAGAGGTGACTTAGTCACAGCTCCTCTGGCCACCCTTGATAAGGACCGTGTTGACATACCGATATTTGCGTTGCCTGGGAAATGCCAGATAAGCGGCTCCTCCTCCTCCTGCTCTAGCTGCTGTATGACTTGACACGAACACCCTTAAAGTTGGATCCGGCCAACGTATGTACAGGGCTGACTGGCCGCGTGCACGCATATTATAAACGTACGCACACATACTGATAAATGATGAACCCTTCAGTGCTCGGCGTGATAGGATGTGCGTTCGCCGGCTGGAACGGTTCGAACGCCATTTTAATGGGGCCTGAAATGCGCAAACTGGCAGAGAACTGATGGCAACTCATCACCCCAACCGATCGACGTGCGTTATCATTCGGCCAATCGATAAACAAGTGAAGGAAATTTGCCTACACTGCACTTGGTTAAGGGTATAAATAGCACTAAAAAACAATTCAAAATTAAATTAACAACTGTATTATAATGCATTAAATTATAAATAGATTATGTATATATTTATATTATTTTAATTTCGTGCATTTATTTAAAAATCTAAATCAATTTAAACGTTTTTTTTTATTACTCTCTGCCGTCTACAGAAATCAGAACTATTTTTGATATAATACATACTGTTAGAATTAACCTGATTTATAAAAATATAAATTTGCACTTCATGGAAGGTGCAATTAATTATAATATAAATTATTAATCAATGATGGTATTTAGGCAATTGATGTTTTAGATTTAAATACATTCAATCCAATATCAAATTAAAAAAAATACAAAACAATGATTAATTAAAAGGAAAATAAATATAAAATTAAATATTTGATGGCTTATTCAGGCCTCAGGGCAGATAAAAGCGTTCCCTACTTCCAAAATCCTCATCTTTCAAACTACATTCTTCAGTTTCCCTATTTTTCTCTGTCTGAAGTCAAGATCTGATTCTTAGATGCAATTATACAATTGTAAGCAATCTGTTAATTTTCTAACTATTATAGTTTCCTCATGCATATTACATTTTTAATCGATGAAAATAATTTGCATTTTTAATTCGCACTTGACACGGTGGAAAAATTAATTCACAAATTAGAGGAGGTGACATGGACGAGGTGGGGGAAGGCGGCGAGAGTTGAAACAATGGGTATGAATAAATAAATGAAGTTATGTAATTCCGCGCTCACGCTGCTTGCTGGGAATCGACGAGTGACGCCCGGCAAATGTATAGTACAAATAAAAATATAATGGCCAGCAAGCGCTTCTCTCTTTCTCTTGCAAAGGTGGTGGCGTGCGTGGTATTAAGTTGTTGTAGCTGCTTATGTAAAAATAGCAAAACAGGAAGTGAGCGGTGAATTTTTATTCACGAATTAATTGTAGATGCTGTCGATGTTGCGGCTATAAGGAATCCATTAACGCAGAATCTAGATGCGAGCCGGCTGCATTTCAATTAAACACACTCGCAAGAACAATCGTTTAGGCTAAATTTTAATTAAATTTGAATGCAGTTTCCTCAAACAAGGCTTCTTTTAATTAACTCAAATCTTTTAATTAATTGACGGTTAATTTATTAAGTCGTGAAGGGACAGGTAATTAATTGTGTCTTCACTGTTTCAGATGGTACAAGCGATACAAGTGCTGCGGTTTCACTTGCTCGAGCTGGAAAAGGTAAGACAATCCATAAAAACGTTTTATTTAATTATTTTATCCGAAACTGATTAAATTGTTGGAATTGAGATGAAAATGATTTACGACTGCAACCCTCTTGAATACTTTTTTATATATATATTTAAAATCCGAGACCTGTTTGCATAAAATAATCGTGTATCGCGCGCGGTTGGGGAGATTAAATTCGGAATTCCTGCGATGGCACGCCGCGATAAGTGACCATCTCCTCCTAGGCGGACGGACACTTGGTGCAAGCAAGTGAAGCCACATTCCACAGCACGCAGCATCCCACGGCCGACCACCTGACCATCCATCTCGGCCGCGAAACGGCCCCTCAGGATAAATAATCATCCCAGGCTGACCCTTGGCGTGCGAGAAAAATTCCAAAAATCCTCCCCTGCGCGCCAGATACTTGGCAATTACCGCTCTGATTAATTAGTCATTAGTCGGTGCATCTGGTCTGTTGTCGCTCGAGTCGCTTTCCAACGCGCAAATAGAGACTTCAAACGGCTACAACTGCCGTTTCACTTTCCACGCCGGCGAGAAGATGCAGCATGCATTAGCGGAGAGATTTATTAATAAATCAGGCAGAAAGTGCAGTCTCAAGTGTCACGGATGACATCGAAATGCACTCTCGTCAATTCATTAATGCACCGAACGTGTACTCCTTGGTATATACACTATGCATGCATCTCTCGTCATTTTCCGCTCTCACGTTTTGGCAGCTTTTCAAACTGCTTATAGCAATGTACTTAGTTATTTTTTATCCCGGCGGCGGACGTAAATGGAAGAAAAACCTTGGGTCGGTTACACTTCGCTCTTGCTCAATAAGGAAATTGTCATTCAAAAAGCAATCTGGCCGTGTGCTCGGAGGTTGAAAAATGGCGCTCTCGGAAATTTTCTGCCAGGAAAGACTGCTGAATAATAATTCACATTAGACAAGAAAATTAAAACCAGGTAGAATGCATTTGAAAAGCTAAGGTTTTTCTTTGGATGATCCATATTTTTTCTTTTTATTTGAAAACTATATATATATATATATATTTTATCTATAAATAAGTACAGAAATGCAACTTAATTTAATGTTTATAAAATTATACTTTTTTTCTCGTTGTTACCTTCATTTTTTTGAGCCAAATATAAATAATGTTTTATTATTGTTTTCTTAAATTTTAATAATTGTTTTATTTCATACTTGTGGAATTTTAGCTCAGTAAATCAAGATTTAAAATATTTTTTGTAATATCAACTGTACAAATGTTTGAATTTATTAGAGTTTAGAATTCAAAAATAATTGAACTTACGTTTTGGATCATGTCAATCAGATTAATTTTGCTGCAGCATAAATTCGTGTGTTAAATTGTGATTCTTATTACTTTAAAAAAAGAAATATTCAAGAAAATGAGCAAGTTGGGCCTTGTAGAAAATTAAGTTAGACAACAATGCAAGTAAAAAGTACCTACTCATTTGAGCATTCCTCGGCAGCCCAATCCAGCAGCACTGGGTACAGAGGGGATTAAAAGTAAATACTCAAATTTTATTTATACATACACATAATACTTCTCCACTCACATACGTATAAATGCTAAAAGAATATAAGAGACATTTACTAAATCTTAAGAGAAAAATTCTTTCGAGCCAGTATGCAAATGCGAGAACGCATTCCGAGTCTAAACTTTTGGGTTATTCTGCTCGCTTCCAATTTTCCCCAAACCGGGCGTAATTAATTTGCCATGTCAAATTTCCACCTGAGCAGCCTCAATAATTAGACACGGGCGCCTCATACAATGTGGCGAATTTTTTAATTAATACCAGAGTGAGATATGGCGCGTCATATCAAGTCCGTGCCGCCGCCGGAATACATTTTATATAATTCAATATCGCTAACACCTGATCCGAGGCCGAGAGAGCGAAAAAAAAATGGGAAAAAAATCTCATCGGTGACCCTGGTGCCATTTAATATATGGTCTAGTGGTCAATCGGGTGTAGGGAAGAATAAATATGTATGAAAAGTACGGTCGGCGGCTCTGACCAAAGGAGCCGGTGATAAGTGGAAAGGCGAGCCCATGTGACAGTGGAATAGAGTCTGGAAATTCCTCACACGCGATTTTCTTTCTTGCCAGTCAGTCTGTCTGGCCGCGCTCTCGCTTTGTGAAAAGATCGAAAGAGAATCGCGTGTGGATAATTTAATGTACTCGCGCAGGAATGGTGTAATTACCGCACGGGGCCTGAGCGATGCTTTTTCCACCTGGGTCGCACAAAAGCGGCATAATTGGGGTGCTCGCTCTTCCTCGGCGCGAGGTGTCTGTGCACATCTCGACCTTTTGTTGTCGCTCATTAAATTATTTGCTTTCTTTCCCACCTCTCATATAATCAACACGTTTTCCCTGTTTTGAGTCATTTTTCTTCCACGCCATTCTTTCTCACCAATGTCAAAACACATCCATTGTCCAAAGTGAGAAGTGTAATAAGTGACGTCAATTTTAATTTGTGTATTTAATATAATATTGAAAATTTTTGGAAAAAAATGGCAAATTTTTATTGAAATGGAGATTTAACTTTTTTGTTATAAAATGGTGCTCTCTAATCTTCCTAATCTTTCACGATTTTATACGTGGGCGGTGCGGTTGAATTATTCGCCCGAGTCTGTTTTTTCTCACACAAAGAGAGCGAACCCGGTGCTTATTATCGGAGCTCCATCCAAGAGGCCGCTCGCTCGCTTTCGGGTCCACGATGCACCATATGATTATGGACATTCCACTCGCGCTCATACTCTGTAATTTCCTCCAGCTCCATCCATTTTGGGCTCCATAGCGCTCGAGGGGCGCGTGGCATCTCCTTGCATACGGTTATAATACACCTGGAAAAAAAAATGCCCATACAAGACGAATTTGAATATTGCCTTAAATATTCATTAGAATTTTTCTCCTCCGCCTTGATTTTATTATGCTTGATCTGGAGAGGCTTTATTACGTTTTAAAATATGAATTTTTCAAGAATGGCCACAGGGTTGCATGCATTTACACCGGGCCCAGGCATGGCCGCCTCAATTATTCCCCACCCACCCACCTCCTCTCTTTCTCTCTCTAATATATATTTTATTTTCCCCAATGTTCCGCCCACCGCGAGCCAAACCGCGACCTAACCGGTTATATATTGTTGTGAGTATGAGTGAGTTTATGTACAGGACGCAAAATACACACGTACATATCATTCGCATATAATGTATGCTGTGTGTGAGCACAAGCGCGACCGAAACGGAGATAATGCGGTGCGCACACTCGCACATTTATCTCCAAATTAGGAAAGAAAACAATTTGAAAACTTCCAAACATGTGCCAGACGCTTTCACAAATGGCGGACTACTGAATTTTAAATTAAATAATGCTGATTTGCGGCAATGATATGAACAAGTACAAAATTATGTGAAAAGTATGAAAGTTCAAGTAAATTCATTTAAAAAAAATTGTTTCAGAACTACATTCATTGTTAGAATATTTCAATCCGATGAGTTTATGAATTTATATCGGGAAAACTCATAATGCAGCAGCATAACTCTTTTGATATTAATTTCAATAACTTAAAAAACCATTTATAATAATAATTACAGACATCACGGTATTTCTTACAATTTAGAGATTCAAACTATGCAACCATACCATATAATTTAATTTCCATAATTTTACCTCAATCTTATATCCCACGTTGAATAATAAATAATTATTTTAATCTATACTCAAACTATAGATTTTTTTAAATTAGTCAGGAGTAATCAACTTATTTTGAAATAATGTTTGTTAATCATTTATTAAATAATAAAAATTTTTAATAATAATAAAATTATCAATAAATTTGAAAAATATATAACAATAAAAATATACACTTGACTAAAACAAAGTTTATAATTATAATTTTTTTAATTTACAATTTTTTAGAAATGCTGTTTTAAATATAAGTCACTAGGACCTATTAGAACGAAAGGAAAGCTAAAATTGCTTTGACCCTATGCGGAAATTTGTCTAAAATATGCACATTTTTCTAGGGAAAAAATCAATTTGGATTTCTACATGTAGCCAAAAACACACCTAATGATCATAAAGTAATTAATCATAAAGGCACCCCAAACTTCTTTACGATAAACAAACAGTTGTCAGAAATATACAATATTTTTCAATCCAATCGTAATAAGTCACCGATCATTATCGCGAGCACGATCCCGTATTCCATACAGAGCCGGAGGAAAAATCTCTTGTTTACGAAATGTCAACACCAGTCATTATTTATCCAGGCGTGCACAGGCTGAAAAGTATAAAGTGTGTTTGTTTTGGCCGTGTCGTCGCGCCGTCGGTAGGTCGATTATGCAAAGAAGCCGATCCATCGGAAATTTCCGCCCCTGCCGAGGAATGCGGGGAGGAATTCAAATTAAAAAGGACGGGGGCGCGTGTGTCTTTTTGCAATTAAAGAGAAAAATGGCGAGAATATATATAAAGTGAGCGGCGCATGCACCAGGCGGCCATGAATGCAGGCGCAAAATGAGAGGGAGCGAGCGAGATTTTGATTAAAACAATTAATCATTGGGCGTTCATGCTGACAAGAGTGCGCATGGTGGTTTCTAATTGTGCGCTCCGGCCTGGCCCGTGTAATCCCCCCGCCTGCCACCGGGGTGTGTGTGTTGTTTTCGGAAAGGGTCTCTCGCTCGGCGCGATGCGGTTTCGAACACGGGGCGCGGCCATTATTCCTCTCCGCTGGATTAACGTTATTATTCGGGCATGCATGGGGTGCTCGTCGGAATGCCAAACATTTTTATTGTGCCTGCGACGACGACAAAGAAAGAGAGAGAGACAAGCGAATCACGGTTATCGTCATTTCATACACCCGACGCGAAAAAAGGCAGCGAGCAAGCAAGGGTGGCCGGAATTTGGAAATTCGTCCCGGCCTATGGAGAAAGCTTGTTTTGCCTTTGCTCGCATGTACCGTTCGCGGAGATGGCATGGGGGGAGAAGGGTCAGAGATTTCAGAGATGGAAGGACGGATAAAAGGCGCACACGGGGAATAATATCGTGGCTGCCGGAGAGCAATATCTGTCACTTTTTAAAGGAAAAATAATGCCGTCTTGTATTTTATTACGAAAAAGGCAGGCAGCCCCCCGCTCTCGCAGCATCACCAGCCAGCTCCTAATCTTTCCTTATTCTACCTGCCTCCATTACGGCCGGCAAAAATAACAACATCGGGGATGCAATAATAATAATAATGCCGGCAACAACAACGTACACAACAAGAACGGCAGCCAGGGCAGAGCGCGCATCGATTTTCGCCTGCGTGGCTTTCCAATTTATTTACGGCGCGGATGCCACCGAGTGAGCCTTATTATTTCTCCATTCTTGTCGTGAAAAGGGCTATTTTGCTGGGTGCGGGGTTGATACACAAACATTGATGGAAAATAAATCTGCTCTATGGACTTTAAAGGGTCCTCCAAAATAATGGGATTATACAAAAAGAAAAGAAAAAAATGCAGGTTTAGAAAAAAAATTTTAAAACCTTTGTCGCAAAGGGAAAATAAGAAGAAAAAAATTAAAATTGATTCTAAAAGGTGACCTGTGGGTCTGTTGGTACTTAAAAAAAATAGGGGTTCTCGTTTCCAATTAAAACTAACAGAAAAAAATTATGCAAAAAATTGGGAGTTTTTAAATTGAAAAACATTAAATGTGTGACGAGGAGCTCGGTTCCAATTTTTCATTACAAAAACTTTAATAAAAATTTTCATCTCCAACATAATTTATTATTTATTTTTATTATCTGCATTATTAGTGTTGTTTATTTGTCAAATAAATTGTTTGCATTCAATTGTTGACTGTAAAATTTTTATTTAAATAATTAATCATTTCAAAATGTATTTAATTGATTTGATATTTTTCTTCCAGGTCCACGAGTTGTGCGATAACTTTTGTCACCGGTACATCAGCTGTCTGAAGGGAAAAATGCCCATCGACCTGGTGATCGACGAGAGAGATTCGTCGAAGCCGCTGCCAGACCTGACCGGCTCGACCAACGGCAACGACGGCACCCGCAGCAACGCCGACTCCACCTCGCACGACGGGGCCAGCACACCTGATGTGGTGAGTACCTGCGTTTACCAATAATTCCATAAATTGCCGAAAAAGCGGAGCGAGACTCAGGTGTGGGTGGGCGTGGGATAAGTGCCTGGGCTGAATAATGGGCAGATCGAGAGAGTAGCGAGGGGGGTTGGAAGAAGACGCGGTCGGGGACGGAGGTGTTTAGTATGCAAAAGGCGTTGCTTGCAACTTGTAATATTAGGAAGGCAGGCAGGCGGGCACGGGAAGCTTTAACACAGATTTAGCTAACTTTATTTGCATAGGATTTCTATTTCATTTGCACAATGCATAATGGGGCCGAATTTAATTCAATTGTTGGCTGCTTGGCTCTGAGGAGGGAAGAATGAAAAAGTGATTACTGCTGCTCGGCGGGTTGACGGCCAAATATTAAATGCAGATGAGCGCGGGCGGCCAATTAAATCTATCTCGGTGGCGGAATTGCGAATGAGTTTCCATTCCCACACTTTATCTGCCTCAGCGTCTGCTCCTCCAAGTCCTGGTGCCAGCGAGAGCAAACACGGCCATAAACAGATTAGGCTACCTGTCCCGGCGGCGCCTTAATTGGCCGGTGCTGAAGATGAGGCAGGGGTTGCTGCTTCCCTTAATTTTCTTAATTGCAGTGTTAAAAGTTTAAGCAAATTCAAAATTTCATTTTAAATCTTAATTTTACTAAAAATTTTAAACCATGATCATGATGATTTGAATTTAAAGCTAATTATTTTTTGTACATTTTTAATTTTGGAAAAATTTTAAACCTTCTAAAGTTTAATCCAGCTCAGCATCCATTATAAATTTTTGTAAGAATAATTTAAAAAAAAATTTGAAACCAGTACTTTTTTGATAATATTCCGGCGAGAGTCAAAATCAAGCTATTGTTTTCCGACTTGCTTTACTCCAAGCGGGGTGCAAGTGTGGTTAAGGGTGGAAAGAATGGAGCGAAAACGAGTGGCCTCTCTTTTAACACCAGCACGCACCCGGGATGCTCTTTTAAAATAATAATCTCCTGGTGGCGATGATACCACCAGACTATAAAATGAAACCCTTCCAGTTTTATTACACTTTAAGGTCATAAAATATGTTTACAAATGGTTTACTGTGCGCCGTGTGTCTGTGTATCTCATCAGCATCATTAAAAAATAAGCGGCAGCAGGTAGCAAAATGCTCCAGACGCGCCCGGCCGATGCATTTTTCGGTCCTGTCTGTGTTTTTCTCGCTGATTGACAGCTCCATAAAGCAATAATTGGGCGATCGCAGGTCCTGCCATAAATAATCCTCGCACGGGCGTCTGTCTGAATGGGAGCCAAAATCTCCTCCGCCACCTCCATTGAGATCTATTTAATTTTTATTTTTACCACCTCTTCTCTCGGCACGAAATTGAATTTGTTTTCGCACGTCTCCGCACAATCGGCCCAGCTATGAGAGGAATTTATTTTTTGGCCATTTTACGAGCTGGCCTTTTTGCTTGGGCGGATGCAGTCTCACTCTTCCTGGAAGTCTCTACACACGTATATAAATTGGTATGGCAGCTATAAGTGTGAAGTCAAATTAGTGACGCCATATAAAACACCTCGCGCTGCTCTCTTCTTCTCTTCTTTTACTCAGGCAGCGCCTATTGTTATCTCGTCCTGGGTTTATATTGCAAACGCCAGCAGAGTTTTGTGTATACGAAAAAGAGAGAGAGAGGAAATTTTATTGCCATTATTCCCTCTTGCGCGTCTCGCCTGCAATTTGGTAACAAAGTGAGAAATACACATTAAAATGCGAATTCAACGCCGAAATTAATTCCCTCACACGTCGGCGAGGGGAATTTAAATTGAAAATCCGCCTCATTTTCTGCGCGCACGCCTCTCTCTCTCCTCGAGACGAGAAGTTCACCTTAGCTGATTAGAATGCTGGAGTGGATTTCCATCAGCTCTCGCACGCGGTAATTGCCGAAATTTCTCTTGTAATTGTTTCGACCGGAGTGAAAGAAGAAAAAATAATTCGAGCGGCTTCGGGGCGTGTAATTAAATTATTATTATTTTGTCTACGTACTCGCCGTGAGCATTTATTTGTCTGCGGATGTAATGTTATTTGGCGCCCGCTAGACGCCAATATTGGCAATACACGCAGCCAGATGATGAAATAAAACAAGATGAATCGGCCGTGCAATAACTCATCGCGCCGCAATAAAAAACATTCCGACTGCGATGCCCATTGTTTGAATCATCAGCCGCATCGGAGCCAGCCGTAATTTTATTATATTCCTCCTTTCAACGCCAAAGCCATACATTTTAAAATTTGGCATTTTCTGAAATTCGGATTGAATTTTCGTAGACCCACCTGATTGCCGAGGTTTTATTTTTCCTCTCTCTTTTCATCCTGCACAGTCTATTTTTTTTCACCGCGCGCGGATGGCTGGCGCGGAGACGAATCTCCTGCAGGGAAGCTAACCAGACAAAACAAAAGCCCGAAAAATTCCAATCATCAAAAAGAGCTGGTATGAAGATGCTAAGGCCGAGAAGATGATGTTGCTTTGTATCACGCTGAGAAACCTGCAGTGCTCAACAATAACGCGGGCCCGCGGGCTGTTTTTCTATATACCATTGTTATTTATCATTACATAAAAAACACAACAGCACCAGGAGTGTACTTCTGACGAGGTACTTCAAGGTTTTCAAAAACCCTATAGCTCCTCCATTTACTGCTGGCTGGCGTGCTCGCCTCAATTATATAAAAAATGTTCTTTTCCACCGTCCGAGAAATACACACATATATATAAGTTGTGCTGAGCTAGCGAAACTCTCTCAAATTCCCTCTCATATATACTCGGCTGCGTCTTCAATTATAAAATTTATACAGCATATATACGTGCAACTATAACATGACGAGGTGAAAAAGGAATAAGCCCATTTGAGGATTTTTTTTTCATTTAAAAATTTAAACTGCTCAATTTCTACGTCAGCAGTCGTCTATACGTACCCGTCGTAAAATAATAGTTCAGCTCAAACGCTGTAAAAAGTCGCCCACTTAACGCGTGAGGACTATTTTGGAAGATAAAGCCCAGCGGATTAACTGATAAAGCCGCCGCGGAGAAGATTAAATTATCACCAGGCTAGGTAAAAATGCTATGCGTGGTGCGCCGCCACCGCCGCCTTGTGCGAGTGTTGATGTCTGCATGATTGATTGTGCCGTGTCAAAGTACCAAAATTCATTGTGTTACAATCGCGTCAAGTGTCTATTCTGGAGAGCTGATCTGCATGAGCGATGATTAAACAGCTTACACGCTCCAATCAGTGACAAATAAGGAAAAATAACATGGCGGCAAGATTTAGACTTTTTTGGCCACTCAATCATTTTTAACCCGTTTGCACACCTGTGTACAATAGTAAAGTTTTAACGCATTTGATTTTTCTCTGAAAATTATTAATAATTCAAAATAGGGAATTTGATATAAAATTATTTTAATAAAAAAAAAATGGTAAATTTAAGGTTTTTTATTTAAATGATATCAATTTATAAGTATGAATAAGTAGATAAATGCTATTTTTTGTATAATGAACTCATCTGATTTTTAAATTATTTGTGGCTTAAATGAAATCTTTTTTTAATTATTATTGAATTTATTTTGATGAAAAGTAGTACAGATATCCTACCCTCTAGCTTTTTTTCTGTTTCTCTGTATCTATCTTTATTCGGCCCCTCCAATTTGTATCGTCTCGGGCAGCAACTACTGCAGATCGGCCCGAGGTCAGCCATAAAAAATGCGTTCGGTCAGCAGCTCTGTAGCGGTCGGGCGGAGAGGCGTAAAACACTGTCCGAGCGATTGCGTGGGTGGGCGTCATTTGATCCATCACGCACTCTCGCTCGCAAACAGCAAACTCTCTCAGTCAGATAGAAGGACGCGTATATACGGCTATAGAGATAGATAGATAATAAACATGGCGGCGGCGTGAATGAGATCAAGAACAGCCCTCGGCGCTGAATCCGAAATATAGACAGGTCAGGTGTGGCGGAGTTGTCACTTCAAAGATGCGGGCCCTCTATATGCTGCATGCGACTAGTTGACGGCGGGATCGAATTTCCCGCCGCTCACGTATATATCGGCTGGATAAAAATAGAGAGAGCCAGTTTCAATTGCACCTGTTGGTCGGCCCGTGCATTAAAATACCAGTCGGGGCCATTAGGCGCCCTTTTTGCTCGGCTGTTTAGTGAGTGAGAGAGCCAGGGCAACACGGCACTCGGGGCCCGAGCGAGGGCTGCGCTGCCGCGAGAAAATATTCGTATTTTTTCTTGTTGGTATCACTCGCGTCGTCTCTATATCCCAAAACATCCCATTCCTCTCGCACTAAAACTCTGGCCGCTCTCTTATTTCTTTCTCTTGGCAGCTTTAGCGTTCTTTTGCCACCACCAGTCAAAAATAGTGTCACCGCTGCCAGAATAACCACAAAATAACGACCCGGCAGCAAGCAGCGTCGTCGCTCTCCGAGCGTCCTTCTCTTCTACTTCTTCTTCTGCGCTCCTTAATTATTTATAAAAACGGCGGTAATTCGCGCCGACAAAAAGATGACGGCCGCTGTCGACCCCGTCGGCACCCAATCCGTCGTCGGCCGCCCTCGTGGCCGCGCTAATGAGCGCGCATGCCGCGCAAATTGGCCCGAGTGCCGACGACGCGGAATGCAAATAATTGCAATTCACTCCGAGCCCCACCGCTCGAACTCAACCCCGGCCCCCGAAATGGTCACTTGCCTGCCACTTGCGTTTTTGAGCGAGAGAAGAGCGATGGCGCAATGTTTTGGGGCTGCGCTTGGCACGCGCTCAAATTTCGATTCACGCCACGACGAACACCAGCGGCACCGCGATCCTTCAAGCCTCCTTGTGCCCCTGTCAGTTATGCAATCTGTTTGCTGTAATTGCGCCCCAAACGCTCCAAAACCAATTGGGATTATATACTCAATTTTTTTTATAAATGTATAACTGGTTTTTAATAGTTTATTTTTATACATACATAATTATCTAAAATA